AAGACTTTGCATGGCAGCATGCTGATGATTGGTTGAGGATTTCAGGCCTGTTTCCATTTGCAAGACATACTGTTGTCATAATAGCAGGTCAGGAATTATTATTCATATCCACCGCCACGTATATGAATCATGATTTTACTTAAGAGGCTTAATGATCGTCGCTGATTCGCTTGCAGTCGTCAGCACAACTTGAGGATATATAATTGCAGACAGCTGCTGTCGTAGGCAGCAATATATCTTTGTCACACGCACAAAAATTGACAGTGTTTTAACAGTGACCAAATAACACTACATCACATACATTTACCCAATTTATTTCTTTTTAATTCCTGTTTCCCGGCCAATAGTAACGACAGACTGCCAACGCTGTGCTGAACTAATGAACAAACTCACACCAGGGAAGGAGAAAAAGACGAAGCTAGCCTCGGGGAAGAAGAGGGAAGATAAGAGAAGTTCAGTGTACCCTACAGGCTGTAAAGCAGGATTGGACTATCACTTCAATTTCCCTCTCTCTGTTCATTTGGAGTGGTGTAGTTTGGCTGCAGGTGGAATCCCTGTTTAATTACAAGTGGAGGGCGCAGGAAAAGAGAAGGATAAAGAGAGGAATAGAGATGAGGCCGAAGAATTAGTTGATAATAAAAGTCTCTGCAGGTTTAATAAATGATCATTTTCCCGCTGCAGGTTGACTCGAATGCTCCTGGCATTGTGTAAGGAGAATAAGGGGAGACAGAGAGGAAAGGAGAGAGGAAAGAAAAACAAAGTTAATCTTTATTATCTCCTCGGAGTGGAGTGATTAAGTTCTTGAAGTGAAAATCCTAAATACGCTAAACCAAAGATTCTCGCTCCCTTTCCTCCCTTCACACCCATCTCCTACAGATGCGATAGACACATACACACTTACTGTATATAACATTATTGTACCACCACAGCAAATGATCAAGTGTGTCTTCATCTTTCTCCCTGAACATTAAGGCATCAAGTACTTCTGTAATCTCTGCCTTTTTTAAAAGCATGATTATATTCAGCAGCTTCCATCTCGCCCTATTGTGAAAGGAGGGAGAGTGCAGGGTGTAATGGCTGTCATTTACTCACCTGAAACAGGAGGGAATTATAAATGCCATGCACCCCATCCTTTGTATTTATCCCTGCTGATATGATAGTGCAGTCATAGTGAAGAGACAGTGAGCCATAATGGTTGCCTCGCTGGCAAAGCCCACGAAGAAGATAGCATGAAATGAATGTGATATCGAGATGAGAGGGACAAGGGGTGCATTGGGTCGTTTAGCCACCAAATCCCTCAATTTTTTGATAAAAGAGGAGACAAAAGTGTTGCTTGCTACAGTGTGTGTGTGTCTGTGTGTGTGTGTCAGATAGAGAACAGAGGCTCTGGAGAGATGATGAATGTATGATCTTACACACCTCAGAGCGTCTGAGTGACAGAGACAGACAGACAGAAACTGGGGGGGAATGAATGATATCAGGACGTGTGCTCTGGAACAGAGGGCTCACATTGGCACCCATCGCCTCCTCCGGGCTCTGAATGTGGTGTGTGTTTGTCTTTATTTGTGTGTGTTTTATCTGTTGACAAAACCATCTCCCCAGATGCAGGCGTCTGAGGCTTCGATAGGCATCAGGAGGTCCCTTCCATTCTACAGCCTAAGTCTAATTCTCTGTGTGTTTTTTTTTTTTTTGTTGTGTACGTGTGTTCTTGTGGGTACTGTGGCTATCGGTATATCTGCCACTGGTGAAGTGTTGAATTATAAAGCGTTGAGATACGGTGGCATCGTTCGCTACACTTCTGTCTGGGTGCTTAGCTTTTATGGCAGATCACAAGATGACAAACCAGTCGTTGCGGTGACATGGTTACATAGATGACATAAATGCGCACATGGACAGACGCGGGCAAATTGTGGCTTTTACACACTCGTGATAAAGCTTTGGCAGCCGAAATCCCTGCATAGGCTATCACAATGGCCTTTCTCTTCAGTAACTAAGAGGTTATTTAGCTGGCAGTGAGGTGAAGCGGTGATGGATCTTAAGAGGAGTAGCCGGCCTGGTGGAGAGTGACAGGAAGGGAGGAAATGTATCTTGTGAGATGCATTGTTCAATGAAGATCAGCGCCGAGTCTGATCATGTGCACAAACCGTTGCTCCACTATCTTCCCGATTCCATCTCAAACTCATTCCCTTTATCTACCTAATGCAAATATGCCTTTACACAGTAGGGAGGGCAAAACATACGAGCTGTTTCTTTCCCAAAGCACACACACAAGCTTAACACACAGAGATGCACCTGCATTGTCTCTAATCTGTAATAGCATGCAGGATTCCTCTTGACTTTGACAAGGAGATACGCCCCCTCTGAATTCATTGTGTGAATCTATGCCAGTGTGTGTGTGCACACATGCTGTCTGAGTATGCTATTTATAGTACTTGCAGAGATACACAGAAGATACATAAATGTAGCGAGTCAGAGGGGGAATGATGCAACGATGTGTTTTTAAGTGTATCTCCATCATACCACTGTGTCAGCGTCGGACTTCAGTGATAGTATGTGCATCTGTGCGCACATGTTTTGGAATGTGAATTCCACCATGAGTGTGTGCAAAACTGACTTGACTTGGTGTGTTTTTTTTATTTGAGCAAGAGGCTGACAGGCAGAGATGTGCTGTGTGATAGTCTGTGCGTCCAACAGAGAGAACCGCCATCAGTGCCAGGCTGCGCTTTAGAGATACCACTAAGCATAGACATTTCTGATCTCTTGTTACATTCAGTCATGGCCTACATTGCATGGTTTAATTATGGTCTCTTTATACCCTCAAATGTGGAATTTAGTCTGTAAAATGTGCTGCGAAGACATGTATAATTATATCCAAATGTAAAAAGAGAAACCAATATGCAAAATAATTTGATCCTCAGCACTTATTGTAGGTGGTGCACTGAAGAGGTGATTTGTTGATTTGAGACCTAAATTACATCAGTGCACTAAACCCATATCTGCTCAAGCAAGCTGTGCTTGTGCTGAATCCATGTTCTGACCTTGTGCCCAAAGAAAATATAGATTTCTTTTTTGCTTTTTACTGCAACTTTGGTGTTTGTTTTCATTACCTTGTATTAGTATATCCATTCTCTGTACTGTGTACTGTATGCATATCAGTGCAAAGGCGCAGTCATTTTGTGCGAAAATAGCCCATGAGAAGACTTCATGTCTTCAGTATTGTGCTGCAGGGTTTATTTTTGTACAATTCCTTGAGAAGTAACTGTACGATCAAAACAGATGAATAGATATGTGATAATCAGCTTGTAAGTCCTTGTCCTTGATGAGCCTTCATCTGATTTTCCATTAAGTACAACTGTGGCCAGTGGTGATTTAGCTGTACAGTACACATGTAGTATTATTCATCCACACTGATTATGCAACCTTCAGGTATCATTCTTTTGAGGTTGGAGTCTAAAATGTTTGTTTTTCAAGTTTTGAAAGAAAACATTTGTTAAGGATACCAAGGAATCACCAGGTATCAGTTAGAGAACGGTGAAAACATTTGCTAATGCTCATCTTTACCCAAAGAGTTGTTATTTCAGTACTGAATTCCAGCGAGTACGCAGGCACACATACACATCCTTGTTGCCTCTTACCCTCATCATAACCCAATATCAGTCCCACGCTGATGATGTCGTCTCCCTTTCCTGGCTGTCATCAGTGAGCAGCGACAGTGACAGCGGTCATCCACCAATGACGGGTCATTAATCAAAAGTGCCAGCAACACCTATTATTGCGCCATGCAGTTACCATGGTGACAGGAGGAGGGGACAGCTGAGATCTACCTCAGCTTTGCCCCTTGCACTCATTCACTCACGGCCCATGCCAATCAGTGCCAGTCAATGCCAGTTTGAATTGGCAGGGCCATATATCATAATAGATGGATGGCTGTCCTAAGTGGCCGAGGTTCCCACAAGGAGCCAGCTGGATGGGAGAAAGATGGACACTGTCAAGCAGTAACAGTTTCATAAAAATCAATCATGATACAAAATACTTTGCATATTACTTTGGTTGGCTTGTTTTTGAAGTTGATGTGTATGTTCCTCGAAACCAAGACTTTAAGTTTTGCTGGATTTATTTTGTTGTCTGGTTGCTATGACAGAACAAGCAGAAGGCCTAGAAAGTGTTGTTACTAATCAGCCACTGACCACTGCAGGAACTCGCAGACTGTTTAAAGGCGGCCTGAATCTTGTTCTGACCCCATAAACCGCCTCTGTAGAACCTCTTTGAGGGGCATTCCAACTCCACAATGGACAAAGCAAGGCTTAGAGGGCCGATTTTGGGGCTATTCTAGTACCTGCCCCACATTCCTGCAGTGGAATATAGTAAAATTAGGAGCCTCCCATCACATCTACAGTGACATCTAATAGAGACAATTTACAGCTACCTTAAATATTGATGCTAATAATGTGCTGAGTCATTCAGGGTGCAGACAATGATCTGGCAACAAGATATGTAATGTTGTGAGTAAAAGACACAGCTATTGCTATCACCTCTCCACCTACACATGCTTTGACCATCTGACTGCAACAAGCATCTGCCTGTAGTTTGTCTACCTGGACTCCTTCACCATTATCCAGTGAATCCTACACCCTGTACACTCCCGTGAATCACCTTTTTGTCATCGTAGTTGATATTTAAAATTGAGGGACGTTTTGTAAGTTTTCCTGTTGCGGTTTTGTTTATTAGCATTAATTTATCCATTTTCTTTCTCATTCAGACATTGGAAGCAAGCTTGCCAATGTTTATATCACATTCAAATTTCTGCTATGCCATACCTAAACACTGCATTTCTCATATCTTGGAACGTTACATTTCTCTGGTATTTCACACGCTCTATCTGTCTTGTTGTAGTGTTGTTCGTCTTATAATTTTGCTCATCTTCACACCATTCATATATTGAACATTTAAGCTGAATGTGTCTCTATTGTGTTTTAACCCTGTTGCATTTTCCTCTGCAGCTGTCGAGGGTGCCAGTGGAGGCCTGCGGTCAGTACTCGACCTGCAGTGAATGTCTTGGATCAGGAGATCCTCACTGTGGCTGGTGTGTTCTGCACAACATGTAAGTCCAACTACAATTGTAACTAACCTGCACACACACTTCCACAAATACTCACATGTCTGTAAATCTCTCTTCTCATTCACCCCTGAAGCATGAAAAGACTATGATTTGTCAGTTCCTTCCCATTCATTTACTAAGGCTTCAACATACTAACCAGACATTGTGGGGGATGAGGTATTTGTGTTGTTCGGCCCCCCCACCTCCATGACGCCTGGGCTCATGCCCAGCCCTTTAGCCCTTAAGCACTCAGGGACATCTCTAGCCAACCTGAGCCATGTCTCAGATTGCTTTCCTGGGGCTCACCGTTGTGCCAACGTTGCCTTCAGATCCATTACCAAACCTAACCACTGCCATTGTTTACTAGCCCTGAAACCAGAGCCTGGTGAGAGCAGAGACTGGTGGCCACTGCCAAAGTTGTGATGGGCACCACGCCAACCTTCAGGAGTTGACACGAGGAGTGATAGTTTCTGTTGTTGTAGAAAACTGTTGAATAAGATCTCAGAGATGATCTCATTAACTATAAAATACTCACTTTGCCTTGCTAACCTGTTCCCTTTCCTTGCATTTTTTTTTTCTTCCTTCACTTTTGAGATTGTGTGTGTCTGTCTTTCTCTCCTTCAAATGCACAAGCATGCACACACAGATACGCACAAATTCACAAACACCCCAGCTGCTGTCAAACCCTTGTCCCTCAAGATTGGAGAGGGAGATAGAGCTTGCTAGGGGGCAGGGAGATTTCCCACTCCACTGTAAATTGAAAATTGGTTTCTTGTGTTGGTGCAAGCCCCAGGGTAGAGTGTGTGTATATATGTGTGTATGTGAGTGAGACTGAGTACATTTAGCACCTTCATCCCTGCTGGCACTGAGAGGACATGGGGAGGGCAGAGAAGCAGTGGGATTGTGAGAGGAACCTAGAGAGGAAGAAAAAAATGGACATGGAAGGCAGAGAGAATAAGAGATAAATGGCACAATGAAAAAAGAAGGATTTAAGGTAGAAGATTAATAGACAATCGATCCTGTGAAATTCAAAGAAAGACAAAAACAACAAAAAAAGGTATCAGGATGATCATAGTGTGTTCTAAGATCTAGGAGAAGGGAGGTGTCAAAGAGTCTTAGTGAAGAAAAAATGTGATTTCATGTGCAAGAGAGTGAAGAAAGGAAAAAAAAAAAAGAGCATGGATGTATATGACGTCTCTAGGGTACAACCACACTTTGATGGGTTATGGTTCACAAATTAGAGGTTACAATGTATGGATGTGCAAATCATCAGTCCAGACGCTTCATCACAGTTTCTTATACACCCTCTCAACTTAACCAGACATCATTCAACCATGCAGCGTATTCTAGCAGATCATTTAATTTAAAAATAATTTGTTCAAAGACTGAAGTTTAAGGATAAAAAAAAAAACCCAAAAACAAATTAACATCAACCAATGAGCAGCCATTGTGCAGATATTCGGAACGTACTTGCAATTTAAAACAAGTTGGACTTAAGTTCTTGCCTGAAGTGTGACTGTATGTGAATATGGAATGTATGTAGGTATGTGAGTGTATGTTTGTCTGTGTGTGTGTGTGTGTGTGTGTGTGTGTGTGTATATAAACCCGTTAACACTCTTGACATCCTCACAGTCAGAGCAAATGGGTGGCCACAGATTGGCCTGTCACACTTATCCTGATAGAATTGGCTCACCTCGGCTCACCTCCGTCTTAACACACAAGCCCCCCCAAGGCCAGACCTACAAATGCACAAACCCTCCTTACTGGAGAGTCACAAAAACAAGAATAGAGCCCGAAGAGAGAGAGAGAATATAACTAAAATGCCACTTTAGTAGATCTTAGGTGCCTCAATGTTTGACCAGCATAAGGGCAGAAAAAGAGATTAGTTTCTGCTGTGTGTGTCTGTCT